TGCCGCCCAATGTATTGCGGAGGAAATCGTTCAATTTAATGTCAGGAATTGGCCCTACTCCCTCCAGCAGCACTTCCTCCACCGTGCTGGTGAGGGTCCAGCGTTGTTGTGCAGGTGCCTCTTCCACCCTTCGACGCTGTGCAGGGGGTGCCGTGGAATCGCCGCTGTCGGGTCCCGCCCTCGCGTGCCGCTGCCCCCGCGGCACATCAGTGGCGGAACTCTCCGCACCACGCGCCCTCGTTCGCTTTGGAGGCATTTCTCTCCTTGCCTGTTTTACTTTGCTGTGGTTGTTGTTGGCTTGAGCTGCAGCCGAACACCAACCACCAGCCAAAAGGAGAATGAGAGACAAAATAAATAGGCGCACAGGCACACGACCCCCACGCAGTCGCATTCAGCAAGAAAGAGAGACAGAAAGAAAGAGAGTGTGAGGGCCACCGCACCCCTGCCGGCGCAGCCAAATTAACCCCCGCCACCGCATTCTGCGGCCCCGCCACGCGCCCCGCCACGACGAAGCTCGCCCCTCCCGAAGAAAAGGGGGGCGTATGTGTGTGCACAGCGCAGGGCACACGAAAACTGCGACGCTGCTCTTCTCTTCGCATTGCACCCGCCCTTCGAGACCCCACACACATCTCCGTCGCTCTCCTTGTGTGTGTGTGCGGCTACGCGCAGGCATCGCCCACTCACGGTGAAAAAAAGGGTCACTGCCTCGTGGCGGTGGCATTTTGTGCCGCAATGCGCTCACGCGAGAAGGGGCAGAGCACATCAGGCCGCCCACCCGCGAGGGCCGCCGCAGTGCCCGCCACGACGCAAACACGCAGGGCGCCCAGCACGTAAACTCCGCGAGGGGAAGTTATGCCACGCAACTGCGGCCGCACGGGGCGCAGCCGGCGAAGGCGGCAGCAGATGAGAGACGTGTCCGCTTCTTTCAGTCGTCGTGGCGTACGCCGCTGCCGTTCCGTGCGCCGTTCAGCCGCCGGCACATTTGCCCCAGCCGCGACAAACGAGGGGAGAGTGGCGGCACAGTTCCCGCGGGAAGGGCAGCGGCTTCCGCCACCTTGCGGCCACCGCGCCGCTCAGTGAGCCCCACCCAGACACAAGCTTCTTTTTTCTTCCATTTTCGGGCCGCACGCCATTCACGCATTGCCTTCTGCCTTCTGCCTTCCGCCTCTCCCCACGCCCGCCTGTCCCGCTTGGCGTGTCGCTGCCATGCCGCGGGCTGCGCAGCTCCCTCTGCGCTTCTCTCACCACCGGGCGCCCACCACAGCGAGCCCCTGCATGCATGAAAGGGGAAAAACAAAAACAA